GGCGAATGTAAGCGCAATGGTAGTGAGAGATATGAGTACTGCCGATGACGTCATTGATTCCTCCGCTGTTTCTGCCTCTGGTGGGTATTCAGTCTCTGTGCTTTCAACTGCATTATCGTCCTCTGGTGACGCTGGATCCTCTGCCTGAACGAGAAACTATCACCTTCACCGATTCAGTTCGAACCACTCACCATGTTTTGAACGTCTTCCTCCACTGTTGTAGGCTCTGCCGAGTCAATAGGATCATTGGGCTCCTCTTCTGACATCGGCTCCTCTTTAGGCGGGCTCATCGTCACTATCTGGGCAAAAGCTTTGATTTTGGGGATTCGAAAACTATCGAGAGGCTACTATGCCTAAGAGCTAAGCACTATCTATCACTACACTATTTCTATACTAGTTAATTATCTAACGGATCCTACTTCATCGGCAGCACCACATCGCGCACCGTTGAAACCTTCATCGCAGACGCACCGTCCGCATTCGCAATGCCCGTGGTCAGAGCATTCGACCTACATAGATTGTCTTGAATTTCGACGTTGAGAGGTTGACTCAGGATTGTAGTAAACTTTGCCCACTTGTTTATATCATCTGTATTATAGGGAAAGAACAGGTGGCACGCCACTTCCCCTTTAATTCAACAGAATTGGCGGCTGGAAGGCGGGGCTTCGGGCCTAATTAAAGCTAGGGAACGACTAGGGAGCGCGCTCGCGAGAGAGACGCATACTGCATAGCGGTCGTGAGTGGTTGCCATCGCCTGCCAATTCCGTTGAATTACATGTGCATCCATAGCTGATACAAGAAGAACTTTTTCGTTTTGTATAGGTATGGTAAATGATAGGATAAACGATAGGATAAACACTTTGAGAAAGATGAAATGTAGAGAAGAGTCCCGGACCATGTTCTCGTTTCCTCATCCGAACTTCTCACCAATTTCGTCGATCAGTGCGCTGCATTCGTTAATTTTGCTGTTTATTCTGCTCGTATCTCCTCCCTACTCCAATCCGTTTTTTCAAAGCTAAGCAAGAGGTGAAGAAGACCCTTCAGATCGAGATAGAATTAATCGTAGATTTTTTATGATTT